TTGGGATCAAAACTCCACAGAACCTTATTTATGGACAGACAGTTACTCTTAAGCAGAGCCTTTTATTTTCATCTGAGGATGTTGTAGCCTTCTACTGCCTTTCTATTAGTGAGAGATGGGGTGTGAAATCTGCTGGCCCTGCCAAGATTATCCCATTAAATTATCTGCCCTCTTCCAATGTAATTCACTCGGGGGCGGCAGTCTGAGGCTCACTCCCCTCGGATGGCCATGCCCGGCCCTCTGAGGGGGGAGGTGTGAAGGAAAAAGTTCAGGTGGTGGTAGCATCGCAATGACAATAACATCAATCCACGTTTCACTGCCTTACCAAAATAAAGTGGATGCCGCAATTATCCCATTCCTAAACAAACTGAAAACCCCAACCGAGCTTACTGCAACAAAGAGAGAGTCTTTTTACTGCTGTTTATTTTTATTTTGTATTCGTTAGCTTTTTAGATATTCCTGGCATGCAAGTCAGGCTCCATGTAACAAGCAGCTGCATTTAGTTAAGGGTTTCGAAGAGTCCCCCCCCCACTCCCGCCATCCCCTCCCCCTCAACTCCAGAGAACTTTCTCAGACTCCTAGAAGCCTCTTTCTCTTCGTGTGTCTGCAGAACAGTCCCTCCTGTCACCCCACAGGGAATAGGTAAGGCCAAGCTGAGGCCCTTCTGTTCCAAAAAGAAGCCTCGACACTTAAGCGTTTCCCAGCTGCGGCTGGATTTGCCAGGGTCTGGTCCACATCGGGACTGTGGAGCTGGCGAGCCGGATGTCCCACCAGAGAGCACTCTAATAAATCACCCCTACTCAGTCCACAACCAAGATGGCAAATACAAAGGCACTTCATCAAACTATATCTCATCACTGGTTGGAAGGAACCACCAGACACACTTTTCAAACCTCATCAAAATTGCAATTTGTTACAACAATGTAATTCCTCCTGACCAGAGGTGCAGAGCACTGGAGCCCTTCAGGTCCATCTCTAAGTTATAGCAACACGGGCTCAGGGAACTCCAGCGCAGGAAGGAAAATTGAAACTGCCTGTCTCCAATTATTTCTTGTAACTTCTAGATATGGCTAAGAAAAAGTCCTTTGCTGCTCTTGGAAACCTGGGGAAAAGGCACCTTTGGCCCATTCATAAGGAGAATGTAAATTCTAAGACTTAACCCAGAAGAGACTAAGACAGCAGTTAAGATAAAAAGCGGTGGCCTTTCAGGGCTTGTAAGTCCAACAGAGCCATTTCCCCGCCCTGTGACCTTAAGAAAATAACTTAACCTCTCTGTGCCTACATTTAAATGAGCTATTTATGCCATCTCCTTCATAGGGTTGTTGTGAGGATTCAGTGAGTTAATACTTGCACAATGCTTAAAATGGTGACTTGCCCAAACACAAGTGTTTGTTAAATAAATTGTACTAACAGAAGCATCTCAGAATGCTTGGGTTTGGGGAATTACATTGTTAGTGGAGGTCAAAGGACTTGGCACCGTTCTTCAGCTTCTCCCAGGCCCAGGAGCAGCCGGCCTGGCGAGATGGAAACTAGAACGTGAGGAGAGGTAGAGGTTCCGCAGACTGTGCGCGTCTGGGCCAAGGCCCAGGGCACAGCACCGACCCTCAACTCCGTGTACCTACCCAGGAAGGCAACTCATTGCTCCAGGGGGCAAAGGCCCCCAAATCAATGGTTCCTATCTTTGGGGGTTGCAATTTTCTCAGAAAATCAAATAAGAGCTAAAAAACATAAAACCACAAAAATGCACATGAAATTCTCTATATTATTTCTGGAGCCCCATATGTCCTCAAGTTCAGGTACCCCAAGTAGAAGACCGGGTGCTCTTCTCCAACAGTGACATATGTGGTCCCACTTAACGCTCAGATAATAATCCTGTAAGGCTCAGAAAAACTAATCGACATACCCAGTGCGTGGCAGAGGAAAGATTCAAACCCAGGTCTATTATCGCCAATGACTGTGCTAATAACCAATAAGCGCTACTATTAAGTTGTGCTGCATTCCTTCCCTACTAGAAAATAGGGCAAGAAAAAGAAAAATCCTTGAAAAGGTGCTATGTTGCATTTTTACTAGGAAAGCAAATAACACCACAATGTTACATATGATCCAAAAAAGTTATTCTCCACTTGTTCAGCAAAAATCTATGGACCACATACTATCTGTGTGTACACATATGCCATTCATATGAAGATAAACATTTACATCAATATACATAGAGTCTACAGAGCATTCCATTCTCCATAGGATGCTGAGCAAAATTTTCAAAAGTATTTGAAATGGAGTGTGTGGTCACCATCAAACCAGAGCCAAATTGAACACTAATGGATGCAAGTGACATACCATTTACTAACTTTCTAGCTTTCGAATCTAATTTGAGATCTATGCCCACCATGCAGGAGATGGAGAGGAAACTACAGACTAAAGTTGAGCTTTTAAAAGGACTTCTAATATCAGAAAGATAATATCTGATATCAGAAGAATATCAGGGTAGCAAATAACCAAGTACACAGAAGTGATACTGGAAATTCAGTATTTTTCCACCCACCACCAGACTCGGTTTGGTTATTGGGCTTCTGTGTGGTTCTGTCTCGGAGTATTCGCAGGAGTCTCCAATAAAGGTGGGTGGCTGACTTGGCCTTCACTGTTACTACCCTGAAGACACTCCTATTCTAAAGGTAGACAGGACAGACACCTACTAAAATAACATTGGAAGGTTTACAAAATGACAGCGAACACAGCAGCAGGTCACTTCCCTCTGACTATATGTAGCCAAACCACAGAATCTACAGGATTCCGAGAAAGACCCAGGAAGGTTCCTGAGCTCTGGCCTTCAGCTTCTTGGAGAGGTTTAGCTCTGGGTGATGGGTGAGGAAATCAACAATGCACACACCAGAAAAAATAAATGTAAAGGTTTTTCTCCTCCTGGCTAACAAGATAGCAAAATGATAATAGAAATGCTGAGATTTTTAAAAAATAAATAAATGAAATACATCTCCCCTTTAAGCTGATTTCCTGAGCCACTGAGTTACCTTAGACATCTTGGATCAGACAAGAAAGTAAATCTGAGACCCACAGGAAGCTTTGTCTCCAGAGAAAAGATCAGGTATGCACAGAGTCTTAGGAAGAGATTCCTAAGACAACAAAATAAGGCAATAATAATAGATTTGAGCACATCACTGAAGAGTCTGGAATAGGCAATACTATTTAAAAAATTTTAAAGCCTACAGGCAGTTAAACAAAACAGGATTTGAGTGACTGCTGATAACAAAATTGTCTTACCCTCAGCAAAATCATAGCGTGGATATTTATTTAAAGGGAGACAGCCACAGGAAGGTGCACTCCCCACACCACCCCACCCCACCCCACCCCCCATGATCTAAAAGCAACCACTGGTGAAAGGTATAGAGGAGTAAAGCAGTGGGGCAGGGGATATAACCAGATCAATCAAGGCCCGAAAGTAGGAGCCCCACCTTAGCAAGAATCACCTGGTCATCTCCACCTGAATTTGCTGGGCAGCCTGACATCAGCAGGATGTTTACACGATTTTGCAGCCTGGCCCATTTTTCACTTTTCACCCAGGTGTTGTGGCATGGGGCCAGATGTTCAGCATCAGGGAAGCAAACATCCATGTGACCAAACAGTTTACATTTCATTAGGATTTTCACCACGAAGGTGCACTCTCAAGTGATGTACATCTTAATTGCAATTAGAAGCTGTATTTATCCCAGGAGCCTGCGGATTAGAACAACCTCACTAGAGGATCAGTTTTAGAATCATCCTCAAAAAACGTGGTTCCCACTTCCCCAAAAATATCTCTAAGAAATCAAAATGCGCACACACAACTTCCTTCCGGAGTGTTTCCTATCATGAAAATTATTAGCTAGGTATTAGCAAAAACTAATTCTAAAACCATAGTGAATAGATCTTTTTCCCTCAACTGCAAAACAGCCAGAGCCTATTCTTTTCCTAAACACAGCGGTAACTTAAAAAATGAATGATGCATGATAAAAGAGCAGAGAACACTTATCCGCACGGGTTTGGGCTGGGAATGGGGAAGGAAAGAATCTGGGGGCTCCAGCACCCCCTCAAGGGATGCATGTTAAAAGTGAGGCCCGGGACCCTGGAGACTTTAATCAACTTTCCCCCTCCAACCTCCAAAGAATGAATCGGTTGTCTCCACAGGCGCAGCCGGGCTCTTCCCTCTCATTGTGTACCGGCTCAGACGCAGCAAGGATCCAAGCTTCCCGCAGAGAACTAAGACGCTCGGGCTCTCGGCGGAGTCTTTCTCTAACTGTTGCAATTGTCCTTGGAGATTACCAAAATCAAGTATGCATTAGATGGCTTTTCCTCCCTAGTTTGTAACACACACACACGTGCACACTCAGAGCACTCAGAAGCAGCAGGCCGCCTCTGACAGCACATTTTGCACAAAGTGGCGGTGGCAGCGGCAGCATACACGTTGTGGCCTCCCTCGTGACCCTCCAGAAGGCTGAAGAGCCGGGGGCCAGGGGAGAGGCGAGGCCGCCAGAGTCCAAGAGGACAGGGCTTTTGTTTGGGTCCGTCTGCGGATAGCCTAAGGCTCTCGCAGAAACCACGGAAAATACAAACTCCCTCCTGGACCGCGCCTTCCGGGATGGCTGCTATTTAGGATAGACTTGCCTGAACACCCACAAGGGTCCAGCTAGAGCTGGGGGTGGGGGGGCGAATAGCACGGAAGTGCCCCATCGCCCCATTAAACCCACCCCTTCCATGCTGTCAGCGCTGCCAAGTGCTGGTGGGCGCCCAGGAAAGAGTGCCGGGGCGCACCCCCGGCCCGCAGCTGGGCTCCAGGGCGAATCCTCGCCGGCCTCTCCAGCACTCGGAGTCGCCTTTGCGAGAACCACGACGGGTTGCGGCCGCCCCCCAGGCGGGCGCAGCTCTTCCCAGTGCCCAGTGCCGGGCTGGCCGACGGGAGGGTGGCCGCGGGCCGGGTGGGCTAGGGCGGTGGCGGACGCCTCTCTTACCTTGGGCAGCGGCCCCGCGCGCCGCCAGCAGCAGCGCGGCCAGCAGCGCCAGCAGCGGCGGGCGCGCCCCGCGGCGGCGCGGCCGGTGCATTCCTCCTCCTCTGGCGGCGGCGGCTCCCAGGCCACGCGCAGAACATCCACGGGCTCTGCCCGGGATCCCAGCCACCTCGTCCCGGATGCTCTCCCCGCAGGATGTCGGGGGCGTCGGCAAAGTTCTTTGTCCTTCTAACCTGCTCCCTCGCCTCCGCCCCGCAGCCTCAAGACCCGGTCAGCGCGGTGGCTCCCCAGCCCCGGTCTCAACGGCCGGTCAGTCCCGGACTGCCCCTGTCGCTCCAGCGGAGGGCGAGTCTCCCCAGCTCGGACTCAGAAGAGCAAGCCCTGCGCCCTCGGGCTGTGGTCAGGGGCTCCGTCCGTGGCGGCGGCGGCGGCGGCGGCTGCTCCTCCTGCTCCTCGCGCTCCCTCTCTTGCTCTCAGCCTCCCTCAACTTGTCACTTTCCACCAACTCTTCAGCCCGAGCCCGAACCAATGGCAGACGTGGGCCCAGGCCGGCGGCCCAGCGCCCTCTGCTGCCGCCTCTCAACACCCACACCCTACGACTTCCCAGAAAGTCGTCCCTCCATCGGTCTCGCACGCCCACCTCCCCTCCCCCACCACGCCTTAACCTGCGAGGGGACCTGAGCCCAGCAGGCCCTCGAGGCCTTTTGACCGAAGGGGAAACTGAGGCTCCGGAAAGACTTGCCCTGGGTTGCAAACCAGTTCGTGGCTGAATGGCTTAGTTAAGAGGCCCAGATTCCAGCAATATCAGGCAGCTCTGCCACTGTTAGCAGTGTGACGGTGGGTAATTGAGTATTTATTGATATCATACCATTTCCCTTTTGATTGCCTCCTTGACTCAAGTGATTTATATTTTCCCATTTTGTCTTTAATTTCTACTTTCATTGCCTTGAAAACAAAGTCATCTGTATTGCTTCCCTTTGGAGATTGATTTGCCAAGGATTTCTCTGTGGTCAGTTTTTGTCAATGTTCCATAGTCTCCAGAAAGAAAGGACTTTTCTGTATTCAGAATGTGAAGATAGATCGCTATTTCTATTTGATCCTCTTTATATTTATTACGTTACTTAGGCCTTCTACATCTTTGCACATTTGTGTGTGTGCACACACAGACCTACAGGGTCCAACAGAAGTAAAGCTTGCTTGAGTGTGGTCTGTAGAGTATGTGGATGTCTCCCACAGGGTGGAGAGCCATTTGAACATTTCACCTAACTTGTCGGATGGTGAGCTTGAGTGTGATATTGTTATGTTGCAGAATTGCATGCTTATAATTTTGTAATAAAAGATTTTGTCATAAAAAGGGGCATTATTTGTGCTGGACCCTTTGTATATATTTGTCCAGCTGCTCTGCCGTGGACAAAGGGAAACACTGGAGTCTCCTACTAACATGGAGTCTCCAAACACATGGAGTCTCCTCCATGTTTTTGTCAGTTTCTCCTGGTTTAGCTTTACAGATTTTGTGATGTATAAATATTGGCGACAGTTTGATTTTTCCTGGGGAGAGGGCCCTTGAACATGTAAAGTGGTGAGTACCATGGATCACTTATTGAATACCTTGTATTGGCCTAGCACTTCGTGTGCATTTGCTCATAACTCTTCTGATCCGTAGACTGTGGGCTTCTCAGTGTCCTGCAGGGCAAGACCCCCTGGTGCCTCTATTGCTTTTGCCTCCTCAGAACCTAGTACAGAGCCTGGAATATAGCAGGTACTCACCACTTTATATGATCAAGGGCCCTCTCCCCAGGAAAAATCAAACTGTCGCCAATATTTATACATCACAAAATCTGTAAAGCTAAACCAGGAGAAACTGACAAAAACATGGTGTGAGTAGGAGACTCCAGTGTTTCCCTTTGTCCATGGCAGAGCAGCTGGACAAATATATACAAAGGGTCCAGCACAAATAATGCCCCTTTTTATGACAAAATCTTTTATTACAGAATTATAAGCATGCAATTCTGCAACATAACAATATCACACTCAAGCTCACCATCCGACAAGTTAGGTGAAATGTTCAAATGGCTGTCCACCCCGTGGGAGACATCCACATACTCTACAGACCACACTCAAGCAAGCTTTACTTCTGTTGGACCCTGTAGGTCTGTGTGTGCACACACACAAATGTGCAAAGATGTAGGAGGCCTAAGTAACGTAATAAATATAGAGGATCAAATTGAAATAGCCATCTATCTTCACAAAAAGTCCTAAGATGCTATACTACCTTGCGCTTTTACATAGGTTATCCCCATATTACAGTTTTAGAAATTGAAATGCAAAAAGAAAGCAAGTGACTTGCCCACTGTCATGTAGACAGTGGGTGGCCAAGCCGAGACTCAGTCTCTTTATCTTAATGGAGCTAAAAGTTCTTGGCTAGAGCCTGGCATATAACAAGTGGCAGGCGGTGGCTGTCACTGCTGCAACAATAGCCTCTAATAACCCAACTTTGGGATTTTATAATGAGCAGTCACCTCATTGAAAGCAAGGACTTGGTAGCCCAAAGTATGTCCCAGCAGGTCAGAGAGTCACAGCCCTCTGCCTTCAGGCAGGTGAATGACTAAAGCATGTAGGACAAACAGTCATTTATTCTTCTCCCAGACCTCAGGGCAGGAGTACCCGTAACTGCCTTAGCAGCTTCCCCTCTTCTATCACTCTGACCTGAGGTCAAGGAATGATAGACAAAGAGGCCTTGGGTCAACTAGTTCATCGCCCAGATAGGTCTGTCCTCCAAATTTCTCTGCCTGAGACTCATTCAGTCCTGTCTAAATTATCTCCAGTTACTTGCCTGAGGAACTTACTGCACAAAGTTCTCTTGTTGGAAAACTATCTTTGATGGTCAGCTGCAATATACCATGGCCCAGAAATGAGAGTAAACTCAGTTGCACTGCACATTGCTGAGCAGTTCCATGATCTACAGTACAACACACAGAGGCGACACAGGGCTTCCCCTTCCACCCACCCTAGCCCCAACCCCCACCCCAGGTATCTTAGGTAACAGTGGCTGCCAGAGCTGAGTATACAGAACTTAATGGCACTTTTATCAGTACTTAAACCTTCCAGGAACTTAATCACAGAATCATAGACGTGAGGAATGTGACGGCTGGAAAGGGCCTTGGAAATTAACTACAATACCCCCTTCATATTTTATAAAGGAGAAACGTGGGACTCAGGGAGGTGAAAATTCCTTGCCCAAAGTCACACAGCTGGCCAGAGCCAGAACTGGAACCTACATCCACCAGTGAAGCCCAGGGTAAGCACTGCCTCAGTTGTCCCAGATCCTATAGCATGCTCATTCCTAAAGGGCAGGTTAAAAAAGGTTCTTCGTGCCTGGTGTGGCTCAGTGGACTGAGTGCCAACCTGTGAACCGAAGGGTCACCGGTTCGATTCCCAGTCAGGCCACATGCCTAGGTTGCAGGTCAGGTCCCCAGTGTGGGGAAGCTTGAGAGGCAACCACACATTGATGTTTCTCTCCCTCTGTTTTCCTCTCCCTCCCCCCGTCTAAAAAATAAGTAAAATCTTTTTTTAAAAGATGTTGAAAAAAACATTTTTTTAAAGATAAAGAAAATACTTATGCAAGTTGAGTAAATGCCAGTGCTTCAGAGAACAGGCTTGGAATCAGGCTGCCCAGGTTTATAACCCAGCTTCTCCGGTCTCTGCTGAGTGACCATGGGTGCATATCTTTGCCCCTCTGTGCTTCGGTCTCTCATCTGTAGAATGGTGATGACAATAATCGTACCTACTGATACTCTTGTGAATGACAAATGAGTTAACTTATATAAAGTTCTATTATAAGAATCTGGCACAGAGTAGGCTCTTAATAAATGGTAGACATTATTATACTATCTACATACATGAGCTTACTTAAGTCAGTCTTGTTGCCATTTTTTTACAAAGAAACTAAAGTGAAATGAGGTTAGAAATGCCCAAAGTCACAAAATTGTGGCCAAAAGAGAGGACTCAAGCCCAAGTCAAATCTCTTTCTACACTACAACTCTAGTGCCTCGCGTCAAGGAGGTGGAATGTGTGAGAAGCGACAAGCAATTGAAATTGTCCTCTCGCAAGCCTCTTATGGCTCTGCCCTCCCCTTAACCAAACTAGCCATGGATGCAAAGGGGTTATGGAATCCTGGAGGGGCTGCTCTCTTCAGAAGGTCCTGGCTCAAGTTTTTGCTGAGGGAGGCAGCCACCCGCTCCGGCCTCTCCAACTAGTACACCCGTGGCTGTGTGTTACCACTGTGGACACAGAAGGCACAGCCATGGTAAGTCACACCGGAAAGGAGGAGAAGAAATAGGGCAGTGACAGAAACAGGACGGAGTCAGGTGTCAAGGAGAACATTAAAAAAAAGCTACCTTACATTTCAAAAAGTTGTGGGAGGGAGAAACTCATTTGGGTAATGCATTTGATGTACCCAATAAATACAGACATTCATCCTTCTTGAAAAAAACTATGTAGCATGATGGTTATCAGTGAGGGAACCTCAGGAGCCCAGATTGTATGGATTCAAATCCAGGTCCAGCTTTTAGTAGCTATGAGACTTTAGGTCTCTCTACCTCGGTTTTCTCATCTGTAAAGAGGCCTAATGGTAATACCTACCATCTATCTGTGCTCTGAAGGTTAAAGTGGTTCATGTTCGTAAAGCATCTAGCGCAGTGCCTCTCAGGCAGCAAGCAGCCAATATTCTTCAGCCATTATTAGAAGTGACTAAGAACATGAGCTCTAGCAGTAAACAGACCTGACAAAGTGATAAGCACAAGTTATTTAATTTGTTTATAATGTAACATTCTCAGATAAAAAAGATACAGTAATAGAGCCAACTGTATAAAGGCATTTTGAGTTTAAAATAATTATACTTTATACCCTGAACATAAAAGTCTCAACACAGTGTTTGTCATGCTGCCTTTTCAATGAATTGTTTATTATTCTTTTTTTCTATAAACCTCTACAGTGTGGGGTCAGATTGGGGCATACATTTAGAGATCACACGGCCTGGATTTCTAGCTCAGTCTTGGTTTCATGTGCCTGGTTTCATTAGTTTCACAGACCCCTGTGTATAGCAGGTGAAGGGGGGATAGAAAGACAAACTGGCTTTGCTGGGGCCCCCCGTGTTGTGCTCTTCTTGTCCATCTCTGAGGTGCTGTGTGCGGGTGGCATCTTCTCAGCCTAGTATCATCATCAGACGTTCACTAACAAGAGGTTCAGGGATGGTAAGGGATTGTTGGCAAAACGAATACCAAGATTTTGTAGCCTATAAAACTTCTGAAAGGAAACAAGGAGAAAATCTTAGTGATTTTTAGGTTTGGCAAAGATTTGTTAAAGAAGACACAAAGCCATGAACTGTAAAAGAAAAACTGATAAATTAGACTTCTTCAAAATTAAAAGCTTTTGCTTTTAAAAAGACATTATTATGAAAATAAAAAGATAGGCCATAGACTGGGGTATAATATTTGCAAAAAATACATCTGATT